CCACCACTCGGGGGTAGGGGGCGGGGAGAGAGCGTCAAGATTAGCACTCGGGTTTCGGACGGTCTTGGAGTTCAGTTTGTTTATTCCTGAAAAGATCATAAAAAGTAATGTCCAAAAATGGGAGGGCAGGAGGAAGAAGGAAGAGAAGCGGAGGGAACCGCAAGCAACTCGCGGAAGGTCCCGGGAAAGTTGCGGCCGAGGGGCGGGCTAGGAGGGCGCGCACACGTTTTCTAGCGACCCGGGTTTTCTTTAGGAACTCCGGAGGTAAACTTCCCTGGGCGGCCAGAACCCCGGAGACTCGGCGCCCGCCGGTCCTCTGCGGCGTCCACCCCACGAATCGCCCAAGTTTCCGAACCCAAAGGGGGGTGGGGTGGGGGCAGCATTAAGAAATCCAGAAGTCCAGTGGGTCCCCCGACCTCCCACACTCGGAGCCTGGCTGACACTGAACCGCGTCGGAAAACTGCGGCGTCGCAGTCAGTCACACAGCGAATCAACCCAACACTTTTCAAGAAAACAAAATATTCGCTAGGAAACTTACTTTGCATTTAGTCTCTATTCTTTGGGGGGGATGCGGTTTAGATCGGCTCGTAAGGGAAGCCCGTTTTGTCCAGGTTGGATATTGTCTACTTATGGATCAGCCCCTGGGTGAGGGTTTATTTTAATTTATGGCTTATGCATTCTTTTAAGGTCGATTTACATGACCTCCGGCTACAACTGAGACAGCCAAGGAGGGCACTCCAGTCGTCAGTCGGCCAAACCCACAATTAAAACAGCCCTCCCCCTATTCTCAGCACGACTAGGACTCTCCCGGGGTAGGGTGGCTGCCTGCTTTCCGTCGCTCTCCTTTCTTCATTGCTCTCTTGTTGCTTTCTCCTTCTTCCTTCCTTTCTTTCTCTCGTTCAGTCTTTCTTTTAATAATATCACGAAGTAAGATGTGATTATCAGTTTGAAAGTTTCAGTATAACTTTCTGGAAACCCAAGCGTGCAGCGATAGCTACAGCGCTCACAAAGCCCTCGGGATGCTGCCCTCTTGCGAGCAAAATGGGTATTACCACCCACGGTCCCGCGGGCACCCTGGGAGCCGGCACCGCGCTGACGCTGACGGACAGACCCGCGGCGGGGGGAGAGCGGGACAGCGAGCTACACACGCAGGCACACAAGCGTCCTCCATCAGCACACACTTGCGCGAACTTCAATGAAATACCTACCTCAAACTTCACGGAGACTTAAAAATGCATTCTCTAAGCCACCTGACTTCTTTTTCATATCAGTCCCAGTTCTATAGATTATAGTATCTCTACGGGGAGGCGGAGGCGGAGGAGTAAGGTGGGCCGAGAAGGTGGATAGATGGCCCGACGAAGACTTGGGATGGCGATAACAGCTTTCTGTTGTCGAAGGTTGCGTTGTCTGTCTCTTTCTCTCGCCCGCCCGCCCGCCCGCTCTCCTGCCCTTTTGTCTTAGTGTCCAACGCACAGTTATCTACAGTTACATGTGTTTTCTCCGAGTGGTTTGGGAAGGGGGGGTGGGGGTGGCAAGAAAGCAAGAAGCCCGCCACGCAGATCTGTCACCGCCTCCGGAACAGGCTCAACTCTCCAAGAAGGGGACGCATCTCGGGCCGCGCGCCTGCACCAGCGAGCGCAGCCGCTCGGGCCTCGGCTCAGCCTCGCACCCCTCGGCGCCGGCAGAGCGCCCTCCTCCGCCCGCTCCCCGCCCCCGGCCC